AACGAGAACGTCCTTCTCTTTTTTGTTTATTTATCTATTTAGTGGCTTGCTTAGATTTATCTAATCCTTTTTTTTTTTTATTTTTAAATTATTAGGTAAAAATGCAAGAAAGATTGCATTAGGTAAGAAATTATTTTGATCGAAATAAATATGTCTTTGTTATGAACATAAATTTTTGTGATTTTGATTTTATTTAAAAAATAAAGGTTTTGATTGCAGCAATAGTGGTCATTCAGATACGTAACGAAAGCCAAGCAATACATATTTGGGGTAATAAGACAAACCGACGTGATATTCAAGCGATTATTACAAGTAGCATATCTGAAAAAATTTTAATACGAAAGAAATATTCAACCATTAATTGCACAATTCCACAGAGAATAAATTGAAGTGGTGCTCCTATATGAGTATAATAAAATGCTTTAAATGCATCTCCAAAAACCATGTTAATAAAATAACCAGACTTTAAGGAAAAAAAAAAAATTTGTTGAATTTTAATGATTATTATTATTATTATTAATTTTTTTTTTTTTAAAAAAAAAAAAAATTTTACCTGAATCCTGCTACAGATCTTTGTAACATTTGTGGCATAGGAACAGTACTTACGATACCAAGTGCCTACAAAAAAAATAATTATCTTACTTTTATTTTTTCGCATTCAAATAAAGAATTCATACCGCAAAACCTAATAGTTCAATAAACCAATATCGATCACCAAACGCTAAATAAGAAATTGATAAACCACCAAGAAAAGTTAAATATGGACTTCCTTGCCACGAAATATTTTCTCTGACAAATTTTTTTTCTCTAATGGGAAAATACAAATTTCAAATAATGTAAGTTTATTAATGTCATAAATTAGTTATTTCAATATTTCAAATAATTAATAAATAAAAAATAAAAAATTACGAATACAATGGTCATTGTTATTTATTATAAGTAACTTTATCAGGTTATTGGTTTGTAATGAAATATCTTTTCAACGTACCAATGTAACGTCAAAATGATCTTAATGATCTTGTCGCATGTGCCGATCAATATACTTTTACCACGTTTGTGACGTTTTGTTGCAGTAATGTTCAAAATTTTAATTTTTTTTTTAGATCGTATTTATGCTTAATCTAATCATTAATTATGATATATAATATTTACATAACTCTAAATTTATAGAACCCTCTTTTTTAAAATACTCTTTCAAAATGCGAGATTTAGAAAAGTATCGTAAAGATTCGCGTTATAAAAAATACGTACAACTTGTAGAGAAAGTACTACAATCCTTTGATAAAGAAGTCAATGAATGGGCCGATTTCATAGCTTTTTTAGGAAAGCTTTTAAAGGTAAATTTTTCACTTCACATCTTTTAAGTGTAAAGAATTTTTGTTTCTTACATTTATTTTTTATTATTTTTAAAACCTTTTGTTTTCAGGCTTTTCAAGCTTATCCTCAGTTTTCCGTAATACCTAGAAAGTTAGTTGTTGGCAAAAGACTGGCACAATCCTTAAATCCGGCACTGCCCCCCGGTGTGCATCAAAAGGCTCTAGAAGTTTACGATTATATTTTTAATAGTATTGGAGTAAGTTTATTCCGTAGATCTGTTTTATTCGAGTAAATTTTGATAAAGAAATTCATCAAAAGAATGACATTAATGAATAGATCGAACAATTAGCAGACGATTTACCTATTTATTCTCAAGGATTATTTCCTTTCCTTCAATATGCTGCCATGAATGTTAAAGTAAGCTGAATTATTATTATGATTGTAAAAATCTATTAAAAAGTTTAATATTAATTTTCAATGATCAGCCTCAATTATTAGATCTATATGAAAAATATTTCTTTCCTTTACGGAATCAATTAAGACCTGTGATGAAAGCATTTATCACAGCCCTATTACCTGGTTTAGAAGAAGAAGGAAGTGAATTTTTTGATAGGGTATATGATTCATATGTCATATTTATATAGAGTTTCTTTACATTTTATTTATTGTTTTGAATTTTTTAGGTTTTATCCCTTTTGAATTATCTATCTGGGATTGTAGAACAGACATATTTTCTGCAGAGTATGTGGCTTGTATTAATAACATCATCATCTTTACGGACTCCGGCTTTAAATTATTTATCTCGGCGGATGCCAAAAATCACATCTAAAGAAGGTTTTCTGTCTAAAAATATTATATTTGTGGGTTCTTTATTATATAGGTTTTAATTTGTTCAACAAATTCATTCACAATTTTTTTTGTATTAATTATATATATCATCCTTTATGAATTTTGGATTTTAAGATGTAGCAGTAGTGTTGGGTGATGATATTGGAATTATGGTTCGAGCATTTTCAGCGACACTGGATGATAAACACGTTTTGGTGCAACGAGCTATTCTTGATTTATTAGTTAAAAGTTTCCCTTTAAAAGTCAAAAATGTTGGAGAGTATGTGTTTTATTTTATTTGAAAATTTATTCTAAAAAAAATTCAATAATTAACTTTATTTTGTTTATTTATGAAGGATCATTCAACAAGATGATCTTATATTATTAATGAAATCTGCTTCGGCAGTTGTTTTACGTAAAGACATGTCACTTAATAGAAGGCTTTATGCATGGCTTTTAGGACCCGACGAAAATCCGGAGCAACAAATTGAACATTTTCATCAATATGGCAAAAGTGCTCTCGTTTCTGCTTTGAGGGTATACAACTATTTTAATTTTACCGAAAAACTTCCTTAATTAGGATTATATAGTATCAGTAGATATTATCATATCATAATTTCATTAATATTGATAATGCGGTGTTAATTGTATATATTAATAATATTGTTGATTTTAAATGTAGAACATGTTTTTTTTGGATACGAGTGATTTAGCTACTGCACAACGACCATATAAGATTTTGATATCATTGATGGATAAGGAAGAAATTGGACAACCTATTGTACAGGATTTACTTGTCGATATTTTATGGTCATTTAAAAATCATACTGAAAAGTCAGAATTCAGTTCCGATGTATGTCATTTTACCTTTGTTTTATCATTTATCAATAGATTAAAACATTAATTCTTATTTTTTTTTTTTCATTCCGTATGATTCATTAAAGTTATTACAAACAGCTAATATGTTTTTGGAAATGATTAATCCATATTTAATTTGGATGAAATTATATGGTCTAGTTCAGGATCGATTTACTGCTCAAGATGGATTAGATATTTCAGTTAGTATTAATATCTATTAAAATTATATTTAATTTTTGAATGTCCTTAATTTTAAATTTTTATAATTATCTAGGCGTTGGATTTGGTTAATTTCGTATTGAATTCTTTTCGAATGCATGAAGATGAAATTGAACAAATACATATGCCACTATTCGTTACTGCCTTACTTCGTAAACTTCAGGTTAACGATTCAACGTGAATTTGTTTATTAATTTTATTTGAATAGCTATCATATAACCTTTTTAATCTAATAACAGATGTTTACAAATGAAGCAAATTTCAGTCGCCGTATTTCACAAACTGAATCTTCTCTAACATTATCTTTGGATTTATTGCAAAAAATCCCTGATAGTGTTTTTAGTTATTGCGAACTTTCAATTAAAAAAGATTCTCAAGAAAATATACAAATTCCATGTAAGGAATCTTCAACGTCACAAGTTGAAACAGATTCTGTGAATGAAGAAACAGAATCTGCGCAAATGTCGCAGTTAGAAGTTGATTTTTACACGGGAATGAATGCTTTGAAATATATAAATGATTTTTATTTTTATGAGAATGAAAAAGGGAGTGAAAATATTGCAAGCAAGCAAGTCAGTGGTATTCGAGGACAATACTTAATTGAAGAATTACTGAATTCTATTCAAGGGTTCTTGCACAGTATAATCACTAAAGCGATTCTTGTCAAAAGCGACGGTTCACAGGAAATTTCATCGAGTCATTTGGCTATAATAATGGATCGCATCTGTTGCCTTTTAAAAGGTGTATCAATGCGATTACATTTAATAGAGAATAATTCTGTAGATTATGCAAATTTGGTATCCAAATTATTCAATGGGGAATGGGTCTTCTCACTGCTAAAATGTTGTTATATGATTGACAATTTCGATATAATTGATTCAGCACTTTCGACTATTTTACATATTATAATTGATCAACAATTTGTATCCTCTAGTCTCATCAACTCAAAACATCAAATACGTGAGATTGTAGATACTTTATGGAAATTTTTAGATCCTAATAAAGCGGCCTTTCATTTACGAGTTGTCCAATTAATTTGGAGTTTGAAAGATTTATCTCAAGCGAATTACGTAGAGGCTGTCATTTCAGAATATCTTATACAAAAAGATTCTTCCGTACGACAATCGAACTTTGAACGCTTTGGTACTTTTTGGAGACTTTCTGAGAATTTCCAAGATAAATACTTACATTTCTCTCAGCCAATGTTTTTGATGCTTGATGCTTTGCGTGATGAAAATCCGACTAATCGTCGTGCAGGCGAAACATGGTTACGATGTAATAAGAATTCTTACACGAGAATCTTAGAACCTTTGATCCAAATTCTTTGTGATTCTTCAATTATGAGACAAAAGGCTGAAAAAATAATTGGTGTAGAGACTTTCCGACTTTCTTATTACGAAAGACCATTTAATCAGGCTCAAGTTGATTATGTATTTGAGACATTGGCTACTATCTGTCGTGTTGGGGGAGCTAGCTTTATGAAAACGATACGAAAACAAAACATAAAACATGATTTAGCAAAATCATGTAGTTGGCTTTCTGAAGAAGGAAATGGAGTTATGAATGAAGTTGTAAGAGAGATAACATATAGTGAACTTTTTATCAAGACTTCTATATTTTATATGGAGGCTGAAGTGCCACATACACTATCCTCTATGACTGTACTAAATGAATACATTCATATGCATGCAATGGACTTTCTTTATCATTTAATTTCAAAGATAGATTATGTCAATAACGACTTGGTTCAATTGGTACACGATGCGTTACTGCGGAAAATTCTTTTTTGTATATATTCGAAAAAGTTGGATTTACAATCAAGACTGTTACATTTATTATGTATTACAGTAACCCATATAGGATCCGCTAAAGTAAATCCTGTTTATATTGATGGTCCATACAATTTACCACCATATACATATGATAATTCAGCGTCAAAGGAAGATACGGATACAAAGAATGAAAATTTAGATGTAGCAAGATCATCACGTTCTTTAATTAAGGTGTTGCTTGACGCCTTATCAATAAATTCTAATCGTCCTCTCTTACAGCAGTGGATGGATTTTATTCTGGCATCTTTGCCTTATTTCAGACATTCATTTAACTCTATATTAGTTCCATTAATCCAGCGTTTATGTGAACAGTTAAGTCGATGGAAAACCGAAATGCATAATCATTATGTTTTCATGGCTGATGATGATACATCTGATTCGTTGAAATATAGCAAAAAATCTGGTGATTTGTCAATGTCCGAACGGGATATTATTACTTTACTTGGTGGGTTCGAGAAAATAGTTATGTTTTGTTTAAAGGATGGAGGGTTAGTCAATGAAGCAGATAACTCTTCAACCGGCTCTAAGGCATATGAATCATCTCTTGGACTTTCTGGCTTTGGTAACCTGTTCTCAATAGATACAAGTCATACCGAACAAACTTCGTCCGAACAAAAAGTAAACACTTTATTTTTTAAATTATTTTTGTTGTCGTCACCTTATAATCATAGAAACTTATTATTATAATTTTTACAGCCTCGCGATTATATACTTTATGTTGTCTTCCCAAATATTGTTACCATAATTATAGACATATGGACCATATTCAAGGATGTTCACTCATCTAATCGCCCACATAGGGTTGGAACTGATCCGTTTTTGATTACATTATCTCATACGCGAGACAGAACTCAAAGACGTATTATGAAGCTTTTAGATAAGTTACATAAACATGCACATGCAGAGCTTATAGAAGCATTTGTGGAGCTTTGGTATATCGAAAACCCTAATAGTATTTCTAGTCAGGAGGTAAATAAAAGTTATAATTATTATCATATAATTTCGGTTCACTAAATCACCACCTTTATTTTAGATGCTAAACAAATGTGCTGAAAGTATTGTCATTGATGTAATGAAAGTCATTCCAGGTTTATCCCCGCAAAAAGTGATAGTCACTATGCTAAATAGCGCTCGTGGGCGATCACAAGTTGTACAAAATTCCCGAATAAAAAAGTTGGGATCTAAGGTGAACAAGATGTAAGTATTTCATGTTCACTTTCTTTGATAAGATTTATTATATTTATAAGTTTGTCCCTATTGTTTTAGATCCGATATTATTATTCTACGATTTTTAGAAGTTTTCTGCGATTCTTTAGCAGTTAATCAACCCCTGATTGAAGTTTGGCCTCAATGCTTGGCTTACATTAAAGACTATATTGCGCAAGCTTCTTCATATAAATATTTGTTTCCTGCACTTCTTAAGTAAGTATGATGAAATTATAGTGCAGTATGGTATATTATGCTTTGATTTGATTTAATACTTTATTCACTTTTAAGGTTTATGCACAAATTGTCAGATAAGTTGTGCTCCACAGCTTACTTTGAAGATAAAAAGGTTCGACGAGACATGCATGTACGAATTGATATTCATCATTTTTTTTTTTTAAATTTTCTTTTTATTGTTTACTAAGTTTTGTTATTCTTTAATTAGGACACATATCAACGTATTTTAGATTACTGCATATTGATCTCGGGTCGTTCATTCGACCAAGGGATATGGCTAAGACGATCAGTAGCTATAGACGGTGAAGTCGAAAGCATAGAAGGTATGTAGTAGTTTTGTCATATTTCAACAAAAGTTAAAGGAAACTCATTAATTTATTTGTTTAACCTTAGTTAATGACGAAAGAGATTCAGATCTCGGTAGTTCAGTTAATTTGATTTCCGAGGAGAAAAAAATCGTTTCAAAATCCAAAGAGGAAATTTTAATTGATCAAGTAATTAATTATTCATCTATTTATTTACTTTTACTTTATTTGATAATAATCAGGTTATTTGTAATTTTTTTTTTTTTAAGGTAAACTATTACCTTGCTACAGTTGTGGTTCCAAACATAAAACGATTGTTAATTGATCAAGATCGAATTGTTTCTCTTTTGACGAATATGATGTATTATATAATTGGCCCTGTACTGAAAAATCGCCCCAGGTCAGTTTGTGATTAAAATATAAATTTTGCATGAACAAACGGTTTAACAAAAAAAAAATACTTTCAGTACTGGTATACCAAATGTCATATTAAATCTCATTTGTGAGATGTCCAAGCTACCTTTTGCATATCGTGTCTGGCGTAAAGAATTATGGGATGTTTTTATAGATAATAAATTTTTTAATATGACACCTGGAGCAGCTAAAAAATGGCGTGTCATTATGCAAACAATTATGACTTCAGAAAAGGAAAGATTCCCTGAACTGTTGGGTATGCTTCCATAATCTCCTCCTAACTTTTAAATTTTGGTATCTCTGATTAATCTTTATATTTTCTTTTATACTTCAGGACGTTTGTCTACATCACCTGCAAATGCTTTGTTTGTTAGCAAAGAACAAGAATCTTTGAACCGTGCATTAAATCTGAGACGTTTCTCATTTGTAATTTACTGTGGTAATATGGATCAGTATCTACAATATCTTCCTCCTATACAAGAGAAGTTGGTAGAGTTATTCAAATTGGGTTTATCCGAATTAGTACACGCCGAGGTAAAATTTTAAAATAATAGATAATTAATTATTGATGATGATTTCATTATGCGAATTAATTATGTTTATTAGATTTATTTGACACTCCGAATATTAATGTGTCGAATTTCGAACCAACATTTATCAAATTTTTGGCCAGTTATTCTTACGGAATTGGTAATGTTTTATAAATATCTCTCTCCCCTTTTTTCGTGGTCGACTCAATTCTTATTATTTATATTATTTAATAGGTTAGATTGTTTGGGATGTTCCTACAAAAAGAACCTATTGAGCAACAATCTGAAGTTGCTAACGTATTTTTAGCTGCTTGCAAATTTTTGGATTTATTATTCGTTTTACAAACTAATGATTTCCAAGTGTAAGATTTAAATTAAATTATTATCTTTTTAACTAAATTTCGTATATTAATTATATATTTAACTTCGATTTATTAGATATGAATGGATGTTCATATCAGACACAATTAATGTCATTAATCACGCTCTTGAATGGTCGCCTTATGCGTTAATGGATAAGTTGGCGGATCATCTTTCAGGTCAACAGCAAGATTTATCAAAGGTTTAGATAAACATTCTTTTACTTGAAATCACAAATTTTTCGAAATATCAATTTTTTCACTTTTAACGTGTTTTTGGTTTACTTTACAGCTTCACTTGGATAATATAGCTAGTCAAGTTAGAGCGGAATCACCATTATCACGAGCTCTTACTTTTTCAAACGGTGACAGCAAACGACCAATGTTGACATTGAAAAGTATTACTAGTATTAGGCAATTGGAATTTTTTGTAAGAAATGTGAGCTTATATGTATATAAATCTATTTACACACTTGCAAAACCAGATATTCCATATATTGAAAGTTTATTAGAAAATGATATGTTAGAATACGGTAGTGTTTATAGCACTACTGAATTGGGAAGTATTGATGTTGGTAGTGGTGAGATATATTCGTAAGATAAATCGAACAATTTATTTATTTCTTTTTTTTTTGGACAATAATTTATTTTATTTATTGGATTTAATAAACGTAGTTTGTCTTTAATATAGCATTAAAATGTTAACTAATTTTGTTATTAAGAACAAAAATGAATTATAAATCCAAAAAAAAACTACATCAGATATTATAATCGGTCATCTCATTACAGGTAATCTTTCATGCGTAATGTTTGAAAAGACTGAAACCACGATCTAAAGATGGTGTAGTGAATTATTTTTTTTTTTTTTTGTAATAAAAAAAAATCAAATGATCACATTAATTCGAAAATGTATACTTCAGAAAATTTATCGGTCTGATAAATTTTGGAAATAGCAAATATTCCGACAGTACAGTCGTAAAAAAATTTGGTCATTTGTATCACATGATTCTGTATCTCGTGATTTGTTTTATAATTCTTTTTTTTATTAACAATAAAGTGTTTGAAGTTGGGATGCACAACTTTATCACATATGTCGTTGTTCCTCGTCAAAATGATTTATCCTCGCTAAATTGCTTTCTAATAAATAATAAATGATATTAAATTATTGATTCAAATAGATTCAAATTCAAAATTTATAAAATTTATTCTATTTACTTACATCATGTATTCAATTATTATTATGAATTCGCCACTACTTCAAATAATTACTTTTTGCAGAATTTTCTTATATATATGCCTTTCTAAAGAATTATAATCAGTAAGGCCCCTCTCATCCTGCTCTTTTTCTTATCAATGAATTCTTTGTGAAAATTTTCGTCTGATGCCTTAAAATGTGAATAAGGTTTATATGATAAAACCAATTAAATAACGCATAAGCTTCGCTTTTGCATATTTGTTGCATAATGATATTCTTGGTATTCTTGCAGATCAGAGACAAAACGCGAATGTGTTTTTTGGGCGGGTTTGACAATAAAAAAGCAGGAAAGAAAAGCACAAGAATAAGTATTTTGTATTATGGCAGAGAAAACGAAAAATAGTACATCAAATAAATAAATGAAAGCGGAATGAATGGCAAATAATTTTTGTATATTTTTTTTTACCAACTAATGCATTTTCACTCGTTCCTTCCAAAATACTTTATCCTCTTTCAAGGTTTTATTTCCTCGTCTAACTTTTCTTAAATCACTCCAAAAATTCTCGTTTTCTTCCTCACCTTTTCTCTTCTTATTTTACTATTCAATTCACTCTTCAAATTCTCTAACCGCTTCAATTTTTCTTCGGTCTCCTAATTTTTCAAGTGCAATATTTTAATTTCGTTGAAAGTTGTTCATTTTCGTAAAATTTAATAATTAAAAAAAGTTTTAGTTTTATACATTTTCAATAAATCAAGTTATATACAGTATAAACCAGTATTTTTATTTTATTTTAATTTGTTAAGAAACTGCCTCCAAGGAAAAAGTGGTATTTGTTTGGTTATGAAAAAACAAAATGTATAATTTTTACAATAAATTAATTATCAATTTTGTTTGTGAAATTTACAATTTTTAAATAAATTTTCTTTTGCTTTTTTAGAAATATTTATTGCGGGATCTAATTCTAAAAATCCAGGTTCATTCATTAAAGAAAACCCAGCAATACCAAAATATGTATGCATTACATCTTTGTTAAAAACGAAATAGAAGAAATTAAAATTATTAATATTAATCATATTAAATAGTAAAACGAGATTATAAATTCTACCTGGAAAATAATTAACCCATTTCGAAAATCCTCCAAATTTCGATTGTGTTTGCAATAAAAAATCATGATTTTGTTCATAATCAATTAATTCAAATTTATTCAAAATCTAAATGTTTTGATATATGTTATAATAAAATAAATCTTTCAAAAAAAAAAAAAATTTAAAATATACCTTCAAAGCAGCACCTATCCAAAAAGAATAACAGGTATCAGGCGGTTTATTAGCTCTACCTTGAAAACCTGTTTCTTGACGAGAAATCAACCAAAATAACGTTTGCTCTTTTGATAATAATCCTATATCTAATTTATTTAAAATATAAAGTGAACTTATTGCACAATACGTTGAGCCACCATGTGATTCTTCACCTGGTCCTTGTCCAATTCCATAATCATATGACTTGAATCAACAGAAAAGTTAGTTAACGTTTTATATGAACATAAATTAAATTGTAAAAATTCCATATTATACCTGACTATTTTTTATATATTCTATAGCTTTTTCAACATCAATTCCACTGAAATCATTTAAAATATATGATACAACGACTGCACAATATAAGAATCTCATATCAGATTCCATACCCTGATAAGTATGTGTGAAACTATCGAATAATTTTTTGATTAGTTAACTAAATTATTTTGAATGAGAGATATGTACTTTTCTTTACCTTCCGTCGTCCTTTTGTAAATATTTTAAAGAATTGATAATAGAAAAACGATTTACACGTGATAAATCATCCCCTAAAATCAATAAACTAGTTAAAGCAGTATAAGTCATTGCTAAATTTGCGGCATCAAAGGGCAATCGTGATTCACGAGACTTTTAATGAATGAATTAAGTTTTTAATATTTCTTATAATTGATTGAAAACTTTTCGAAAAAAAAAATAGTATTACTTACCCCATTTACATCGAATGGTAAGCCGGAGAATGGTGAACCTCTAAAACCACAAATTTTTTCATTAATCTCTAAAAAGTGATAATATTATAATGTTATTATAATTTAATATTGAGAAAAAAAAAATTTAAACTAATAAATTAAATAAGAAAAGTATACCAGGATTCTTTTCATTAGGTAAAATCTGCTGTGCATAAATCCAATCAATCCAAGTTTTCCTTCTTTCTTTTGAAATTTCCTCTTCAAGTATACCCAATAGGTCCAAACCAGAAAGACAAAAAAAAGCTAATGTCATTCTACATTTAATTTTAATTTAATTTTTTTTTTAAATAAAAAAAAAGAAAAGAAATATACGTGCCGATATTTTAACAAATATTATACTACATCAAAGTTCATACCTGTTCGTATCGTTACTTACATATTGTCGTGAAAGTAACGTTAAACCACGCTTTAAATACGTAATGTGTTTGGAACGGTCAAACTCATTCTTAGGGGGAGTAGTTGAACATTCAAGCATTTTATTTTTATTGTATTTTATTTGTTCACTGAAAATCATATATATATATGTCTAATTACAAATCATGTGAGCTCTCTCTCGAGAAGTATTAAATTCTCGTGTTTGCCGGATCAATTTTTTATTGGATAAATATTTGTGATCTTTTGTTAATTTTTTTTTTTCGTAAGCATCTTTGAGGTATAAACTTTGAAATGGTAAAATCATATCTTCGTTATGAACCTTATAAAACGTTCGGTGTTATAGCTAGTTCGTCATCGAACGTTGTGTTTTCTGGAGACGGTAAACTTGCCATTTCTTCAGCATTAGAAGATGTTACCCTTTGGGATTTGAAAAAGGGTATTCTGGTGTGTTGTTGAACTAACATTTACGCTTATAATTCGGTTACAATGAGTTGGGGTCTGAATATCGCTTAATTAATTTGTTTGTTTAATAGGTTGGAAAATGGCATGATATCGATAACAAGTCAGAGGTTACGGTGATAGCAAAAAGTCCAAATAAAGTTGATTATGCCGTCGGGTTGATTTTTTCATTTTAATGATGTTGTATTTAATTAAGGGTAACTATAAATTCTAATACAATTTATTTAATTGTTTAATCGTATAGATATGCAGATGGATCAATTCGAATATGGGATATTGAGAAATCAACGTCTTCGGTTATATTTAACGGTCATCGAGGAGCTGTAACTGCGTTAACTTTTGATAAGGTTGGAACAACACTAGCATCAGGATCAAAAGATACTGACCTTATCATATGGGATATAGTTGGAGAAGTTGGTCTTTATAGGTAAAATAAGATAATAATAGATGATGGATTTTGAAGTTTACAAAGAAGTCGTCTTACTTCATTCCTTTTAATAGGATGCGTGGTCATAAAGATCAAATCACTTCAATCCGATTCCTTCCAAAACCTTTATTGGGGAGACACAAATCTGAAGATACAACTTCTTCATTCGGATACATTCTTTCTTCTTCAAAAGACACACTTCTAAAATTATGGGATTTAACTACCCAACATTGTATAGAAACAGTGGTGGCTCATCGTAGCGAAATATGGGATTTTGATATATCGAAAGATGAAAAAATGTTGGTGACCGGTAGTGATGATATCGAATTCAAAGTATGGACCATAGATCATGAAATCCTAGCTAAAGGACTAGAAATTGACGATTCAATGAAAGAAGTAGAAAAAGAGGAAAAGGAGGTTTGTATTTTAATTTTAATGAAGTAGGCAACAAGGTTGGATTTATGATTTAAATTATTTAATTAATCATAGGCCAAGAAGGCGATTCAATTTTTTGGAAATGTTAAAAGACAAGGAAAAAATCGAGTTATTACGATAAAGTTTCATCCAAATGGTAGTTTATTAGGTGTTCAGGGACCTGAAAAATCTGTGGAAATTTATCGTATTCGTACGCATGAAGAAATTAAAAAGAAATTGACCCGTAGAAAAAAACGTCAAAAGGAAAAGCAACAAAAGGCTGAATCTAAAAACCAAGATGAGAATGATGCTATGGAAGTTGATGGTGAAGATCGTCCTCTACGTGCAGAAGATTTAATAACCCCGTATCAAGTTATTCGAACGGGAGGAAAGATACGATCTTTTGATTTTTCGGCAATTGATGATAATCGTAAAGTTAGCTCGATACAGGTAAGAATTTTTCTTTTATTACATTATTTAACGATCTCTCTTTGATATTTATTCAATTTACTAACTAATTTAAAAAAGATTCTCACTTCTTTGACGAATAATACGCTAGAAACATATGCTTTAGACCTTCCGAAAAAACTGAATAAAGATGTCACAGTATTATCAAAATTATATACCGTCGATCTTCCAGGTCATCGCAGCGATATTAGAACTTTGGCTCTAAGTTCTGATGATAATTTATTATGCTCAGCATCCAAAGGCGAGTAAAATTAAGATCGAATTAATAATATCACATCCTTTATTAACTCCTTCACCTTTTAGATTCGCTCAAGATTTGGAATATGCAGACAACTTCTTGCATTCAAACGATGGAATGTGGATATGCGTTATGTAGCGCGTTTATACAAGGAAATCGATATGTAATATATATATAAATATTTGAAACTTATTATTCTAAACATTATTAAATTTTTCGATATAATTTAATAGGTCATTATTGGTACTAAATCTGGCCACCTTGAATTATATGACATAGCCTCAGCATCTTTATTAGAGTCAATCGAAGCACATGAGAGAGCTATATGGTCTCTACAAGTCAGGCCGGATAAGAAAGGATTAGTGACGGGAAGTGCTGATGCGAATGTCAAATTTTGGGATTTTGACATGGTGGAAGGAAATTCCCATGGAGAAGATGGGGTATATTTATGTCTTTGCATTTGACTTTAATTCGAACATTTTGACTAATATAAACCATATCACTTTAGGCTGTACCCAAATGTCTAACTTTGGTTCACACTCGTACACTGAAAATGACCGATGATGTATTATCCGTCCGTTATAGTCCAAACCAAAAATTAATTGCTGTTGCATTGTTAGACGCAACCGTGAAAGTATTTTATAATGACACGTTGAAATTCTTTTTGTCATTATATGGTCACAAAGTATGTTTTTATTAATTATTTTCCAATGATATATTCTGATTACCTATTTAACGACTATTTACAAAATATAATTCTGGAATTATAGTTACCTGTGCTGTCAATGGACATTTCTTCGGATAGTAAACTATTAGTTACAGGCTCGGCCGATAAAAATATTAAGATATGGGGTCTCGATTTTGGTGATTGCCACAAATCAATATTTGCTCATCAAGACAGTATCATGTTTGTACAATTTGTTGCAGACACACATTATATTTTCACATCTAGCAAAGATAAATTGGTTAAATATTGGGATGGTGATAAGGTATGTAATTACAACTTTCTTATTAACGTGATGTCACAATATTTAACATTTTTTCGATCTCAGTTTGAGAATATAATGAAACTTGAGGGACATCATGGAGAAGTATGGTCTTTGGCAATTGGCAAGCGCGGGGACTTGTTAGTTTCCGGGTCTCATGATAGGTCAATTAGGGTTTGGGAACAAACTGATGAACCGGTACATTTAATAATATCTGTTACTTCTTGTGAACTTTTGAAGTCGTTCTTTTCTTAATTCTAAGCCAATGATATTATTATTTAGCTTTTTCTAGAAGAAGAACGCGAAAAAGAGTTAGATGAACTATACGAGTCCACTTTAACTACCTCATTGGAAAAAACTAACCTTCAAGATAATGCTATAGAAGTGACGTCTGCTGGTAAACAAACCATGGAAACTCTAAAAGCCGGTGAAAGAATAATGGAAGCATTGGGTATTGCCGATGAAAACGCCGCTGCCTGGGAAGCATATAATCAGGTAATTTTTATTGACTTTTGGAAATTGTGCAAGTAAATAAATAAATATTTATATCTACATAAATAATCTTGAATCTCTAAGCTTAAAGAACGAAGTAGAAATCCTGGACCACCACCAAAGTCGAACCCTATTTTGGTAGCTCTTGGAAATCTCACCGGAGATCAATATGTATTAAGAATTATTGAAAAAGTGAGATCGACAGAATTAGAAGAAGCTTTATTGGTTTTACCATTCACCAAGGTTATTTCTTTATTACAATACCTAGACATATGGGCTAAGAAAGTATATATTTATTTATATATTTTTTTTTAATATGACGCGTATCAAAAACTTAGATATTAACGTCTCTTTTTATAACTTAGGAAATAAATATTACATTAACATGTCGAATATTATTTTATCTTCTTAAGGTTCATCATGATCAAATCGTAGCGAACCGACTAATGAGACCTAGATTGGATTCTCTAAGAACACATATAAGAATTGTATTAAAACGTCAAAAGGTGCATGATTTTCTTTTTACATTAATTTTCGAGTTTTAATATAACTAAATTGATTTTATCTCTTTAAATGTATTTTAGGATTTACTTGGATATAATTTAGCGGCATTAAAATATATCAAACGTGATTGGGAAATTAATAGTACCACAGAGTTTTTCGATCCTACATCAGATAACGAAGAAATAGTGGATGAATCTTTAAAAAAGAGGAAATTCATCACTGTTACTTCTTAAATTACATAATAAAACCTTTAAAATAATTTATTAATCAATAAATATATTTTCTATACATATGAATAATTTTTATTATTAAGAATACAAGATAACTCGATTGTAATTAGTGTTTATCTTAATTCCGCTGAAAGTAAAAGAGGATTTTTCAATAGGTTTTTCCATACCTCGGAAAATCTAGCTACAGTAGCTCCGTCTATCACACGATGGTCTGCGCAAAAACTTATGGGAGCTACATGCTTTCCAACAACTTTCTCAATCACATGTCCAGTTACTTCATCCTTGACATTTTCAAAACGTGGTAACTTTTGAATTTTACCAATTGCTGCAATACAAACTTGTGAAGAAACGACAACAGGAGAAAGAAATGTCCCTCCAATTATTCCAATATTAGATAAAGTTATAGTTCCTTCTTGTAAATCATTTGGAGATATTGTATTCTTTTTCCCCGCTTCTTGTAACCTTTGCAAATCACCCGCAATCTCAAAAATGGATTTTGCCTGCACATTTTTTATACTTGGCACAAAAAGTCCTCCGGGTGTATCCATTGCAACACCAATATTATGTGATTTATGATACTTTAGTTTTGCTGTATTTGCATCATCTTCATTAATAATACAAGCATTAAGGATTGGAAATTGTTGTAATGCAACAGAAAATGATTTAATGAAAATTGGCATGAGAGATATTTTGCTGAAAGAAAATTGATCCTTTTTAGCAATATAATCATTAAGTGAATGGTGAAAAGTAAAGATATTGTCCAATAAATATTCATCCGAATATCCAAAGTGTGGAATTTTCAATGAACGCGTCATTGTCTTAAACATTGATTTTTGAATATTTGACAATGGCACGAGTTTATCCTCGGAGATTCCAATATCAAGAACTATTTTTTTCACAATTATGTTACAAATAAAGTATGTTAATGAAAGATTTATAAATAAAGAACTTTTTTTTTTAAAAAAAAAAAAAGAATTCATAATTACTCTCTTTCGATTTAAGTTGAGGTTCCTTTCCTGCATTTATGTGATTTAAAACGTCTTCCTTTGTAACGCGTCCATTCTTTCCAGTTCCTTCTATATTACCGATATCAATGTTATGTTCTCGTGCAATACGCCTAACAGCTGGAGTTGCCAAAGTTAAAACTTTATCTTCAGTTGTCAAAAATTCTGATGATTCTTGAGCTTGCGCTGGTGGAGGTGATGTTAAAGCTTCAACGCTGCTTTCATCCGAATCTTGTATGCTCTCCTCACTTATAGAACTATCAGTTTCTATGTCAACGATTGGGTTTCCAACTTGTGCCATTTCACCGACTTTATAATGTAATTTCTTAACAGTACCTGTAAAACGTGATGTGATTTCTACTGAAGCTTTATCTGATTGAACTTCGCAAATTTTATCAAATTCAGCTATTCGATCACCTGGTTGAATAAACCTATAGAGAAGGGAAAAAAGATCAATAAAGGATTGTAAATACTTATTCCCTTTATGGTCATACCAACCATTGAACTACTTCACATTCCGTTATACCTTCACCAATATCCGCTAATAAAAAGGGATGCATTGCGTCATTTGGACGTGACAAGTGAAAGTCACGAACGCAATTGGATTTTTTAATATACGCATTGGAAGGTATCTTTGGTTTTACGAATGAGGAAGACAAATTTGACTAAATATTAAAAAAAAAAAAAAAAATAAAACAAAGGTAAAATGAGTAGAGGGAAAAAGAAAAGGTGGCATCATTTAAATAACTTACTTTTATGAAAATCGTATGATACTTTATCTTATTGTTGTTAATTAACCTATTTGGATAGTATTGAAGTTCCCGGACGATCTACTAAATTTAACCAATTTGAATTAAAATAAACTTTTCCTTTTTATCAAAAGTCGACGACGCACAATAGCGTTCTCGTTAAAATTTAGTTATCTCGTGTGTAGCACCGTTTACAAGTAGAAAATGCGGAAACACACCCTAATCCTATGGAACCTTCTTAAAAACACGAGGGGAACATTCATTCTATTTATATATATCAAAAGAGTTTGTTGTTCAAACGAATTCTTTATTATATATTTATATAAAGGTCGGGTATCACAAATATTTATCCGGGTATTACTACTCGTTATAATACTGCACGATAATAAAGCATTATCACCGAATTTGCATAGAGAGTAAAAGTATATATAAGGTTTGTTCAAAGTTTGCAAGTCGTTTTATTGTTTTATTATTCCCTTTTTTTTTTTTCCTTTTTTAAAATATCGATATCAATCGATGTCTTCACTCTCCTTATTTTTTGTTCCTAGTAATAGAAAAGTACATTTTGAAATAGATATTCTCATACAGGAATTAATAAATGTACCGTTGGTATCTGGGTCCTATTATATCAAATGGAAATTAAAAAATGGAGAAAGAACGAATAGTATGACTGAACGGTATTTAAATATATGAGTATTCAATTCACTTTGTTATTCAAAGTAATTTCATCCTTTAAATAAATTCCAACAATATCCAGAGCCCCCATTAAACATCGTTCCATTGCATGGAACTATAAATTACAAAATTCCGTTCAGATAATTATCGGCAAGGATGGGGTATTAATGCCTTGTGAATTAAGCATTAAGGTGAAGCAGGTAAAGAAATCATATATGCTTAATCAGATTTCATTTGAATTTATAATTATTTAACAAGTTGTTTATATTATACTTTAGGAATTAAATGGGGGAAAGGAAGTAAATAATATCGGAAAGTTATTATTGAACCTTTCTGAATACGTCGGATTGAATTCTGTGACCCAAAGGTATTTACTACAGGATAGTAAGATTAACTCCACCCTTAAAGTAAAATATCTACATTTCATAGTCAGTTTTATACTCTCATTTGAAATATCGTAAATTAAATTGTATTTTTATATGTATAGTTGACGATTAATATGAAACAAACATCTGGAAAGGTTGGCTTTAAAGTGTAAGTCATCAATCTTGGACGTATGTTTTAAGTCATTCGTTACATATATAACGCGTGAATTAATTTAATCTTTTGATTATAGACCATCTATCAAGAAACCTCAAATTTTTGGAGGTATTGCGGGAATAATAACAGAACGTACTGAACGCCAGGATGACACTAGATCACGTAAGTATATATTTTAATTTTTACGCGTAAATTTTTTTTTTTTTTTTTAAAATTAATTAATTATTATTTTAAAAGTGCGTGGACTAAGGCCAAATTTCGGACAACATTGTATGGCGCGGTCTCGCTCGAACACCTCTCTCGTACGTGTTTATTATCCATTTTAACATTTAACGTTATCATATATGAAGTTTTAAATTTGTTTTATAATTTTTAGAGGTCAGCATATTACTCACAAGCGAACCAAACAACTCCTACTACTTCATCATTGGTTGCGAATTCTTTCCTTCGTAAAGTTGGGGGCGAGTCATCTACAGATGTCGTGGAAGATATTTTCATGGGGACAGCTATTGTACGCGTCGACGCTGTAGATGACAATAAGTCGGAACATAGCGCTTTCTTTTAATTAAGACGGCATGTTCTTTTTTCGATCGTGATAGATTATATATATATATATTATATATAAAAAGAATCAATCATTTTCACCTACATAAATTCATTCTAACTTGTATTATAGGTTCTTTGTTAAAGCACAATATAATCAATTTACATTTGTATTAAAAATCATTACCATTAGATTATTCATAACTTTCATTAGATTCTAAAGTATATTGTAACACAAATACTTGAATCATTATAATAAAGTAATATAATTTAATTCGACCAAAAAAGAGAGCTGCATCTCTCAATTCGAAGGTCAATTACAATAACAATTAACAATCAGAATTTATCCAAGTCTACGTTAAGAATTTTACATAACATATTTTATAATATTTATCTTCAACAATTGTAATTAGGATTTGATCGGATATTCTTTTTTGTTTCGATCGATGATCTATAAAATGAAAGAAATGAATCTTCAAAACCAAATCATGTACATGTACTCCACATTTCTGACGCGTCATCTTCAAATATATCTTTTTTTACTATATATCATGACTCTATTTTTTGGAGGATCACTTTAAACTATGACTATTTTCGATTAAAATTGTTCATTATTTGTACATGTACGGTGACTATTCATTTTTATTTAAATAATCGCAAAAACAAATCTCATTCTACATTGAAGATGATCTTTTAGTATGATTGTCGCGTAGGACACTTTGTCTGTTTCACTCGTGATCTACCAAATAAGTATTGTATTATGGTTGATCAAATAATTTTAGTGATATTTTTCTAATTAACTAATTTTGAATGCTTCGGACGCTCCAACGATTCCCTTTAACTAGTTATATTTAATTACTAATAAAGCGAAAAAGGATAACTTGATAATCAAATACTAAGCGGGGTAAGTAGGGTAAATTGAATGATGAACAGGATATAAACTTTATCAATTCCTTTTCTCCGATTTCTCCGACAATACCTGTATCACTATTATTAATTCCGATAATAATATGTGATGGATAAACTTTAACAGTCAATATAATTTAATACTTTTAATTAAAGTTCTATGTATTATCCAAAATTGATCGGATCATTATATTGATTGTTATTATTCATAAATAAGACGATCATGTACTTGCTTGTACTCTAAAAGAACTAAATTTATTTATTTATTTATGGGATACAGCATTTTTTAGAGAGACCCTTAAAACTCGATTTAATTTCTTTCTTTTATCTTAAAAAAAAAAATTGGTTGGATAAATAAGTTTATGATGTATTACTTTTTCGAATTTGAATTTTTTATGTTTGATTTTGTTTTTTTTAACAAAAAAAGAATTTTTTTTTTAAATATTGAATTAACCATCTTTGAGTTCTTCAATTACAAAGATCTTCTCTAGCGATTAACTTAATAAAATATTATTTTTCAGACGATTCACGAAAATGATTTGTAAAACAAATTGGTATATGACTTATAAAATTCGATCCAATACATTGCTTATTTTTAGCCACTTATCTAACAATAAATCAAAAATTCTTTGATCAAAAATAATTTGACGTAATGTTTTGCAGGTTTCTTATTTAAAATTTACGCAATAAATTATTTGCTTGATCAATTCCAGTATTAACTCATCTGATGCTTTACCCTCTCTTGTTTTAAATCTCCTATATATCTCTCTCGAAAAAGAAATAAAATTGATAATTTACGAAAATTTATAATTCATACGCTTATTTCAAATATTTATTTTTGAGATATATTTGGCTTTTTTTTAAAAACGATGAATTCGTTTTTTAACTGCGCAATAATCTGAAAACGCGGAACGAATGTATAATTATGATGTTGTATAACCACATGATGATATCCACTTTTATAGTGTATTCACTGAATATGCCATAATTTAAATATCATTCGGACTGAATCTCCCAAGAAAATCGTGTAATCACGTGACTAAAATATTTTTTTAATTAATAAATTTTATAATTGTAAAAAGAAAGGGATGATAAATAATAATAAAAAAAGCTAGTTCAAAATACAAGAACTCATTTCATATAAGAATGTTTTAAATGATATTTCTAACGTTACAATCATATTTGTATACAAATATTATGATATATTATACTTTTTTCTTTTTTTTTTTTTTTTTTTTTTTTTTTTTTTTTTTTTTTTTTTTTTTTTTTTTTTTTCCCCCCCCCCCCCCCCCCCCCCCCGAACTTTCTTTTTCTTTCTTTTTAAAAATTTA